GGCCAAGATAGGAAGAAGGCATGGACTCAATTGCGCCTAGAAAATGAGAAAGAGATTGGATCTCTAAATTGTCAATTAAGATCCCATGCATTTTCGATTTTAGCATATTGACCTTCATTTCAAAAAGTAATTCAACGGTACGAAGAAAAAGCCACATGGAGGCCACTTGATTGGGATTAGTGTCGCAGAAGATGAGAGTATCATATGTGTAAAGGAGGTGGGTTATGTACTCCATCCCACCTTGTTAACCCTATCGTAGGCCTTTTCCCAATCTAGTTTGATAACTAAGCCTTTTTTAACAGAGAGAGCCCTATGGTGAATATCCTCATGGGCCGCAAGTGCACCATCAAGAATCTGTCTATTAGCAACAAAGGCTGACTAGTTGGGAGAGACGACAGAGGAGAGAACCTCTTGCAAATGGGAAGCAAGGACCTTGGCCAAGATTTTGCAGAAAGAATTAAGAAGGATGATAGGCCTAAAATCCCTAAGTTTATGGGCCGCCTTCAATCTTGGGGATAAGGGAAATGAAAGTTCATTTAAAACCAGAGTTTAGTCGACCTCTAGCAAAGAACTCAGCAAAAAAGGCCATATGGTCAGGCTCAACTATCTTCCAGAATTCTTGGAAGATAGCAATTGGAAATCTGACCGGGCCAAGGGCCTTGTCTTTAGGAAGATTAAAGACTGCCTTGCGGATTTCATCAAGGGTTAAAGGCCTCTCAAGCCAAAGAGACTAATTCTGGAATATGGTTCGAAAGGACAGATCTCCTAGGGTGGTGGAGGGATGAAGGGGTTTGGAGAAGAGATTTTTAAACTATGAATGAAGATTGAATTGATTTGGTCCGGAATATGGAAAGTGTGATTGCTAATTGAGATGTGAGTGATAGCATTAACCCTCCTTCTGGAGCTCGCCGTCTTATGAAAAAAATCCACTTAATCTTAGATTTCTGATACCAGTAGGTTTCTTCCAATCGAAAGGGACCGAGTTTCCTTCAAACTCGGAGGGAAGGGATCGCTTCCAGGTCTTAATGGCCGCCTTAACTATTTGAAGTATTTTGGAAAGGCGATAGCCTGGCCAACCAAGGATAGAGGCAGAAGACCAACAAGAGCTAAAAACCTGAGAGAAGGATGGCTCTCTTACTAGAAGAGTTCAATCCTGAAATGTTTAATGGAGCGATGAGCAGGAAACGTGTCCAGGAGAATGGGTTTATGGTCAGAGGTTGACTTAACATGGAGTGGGTACCCAGGAAAGAGGATTCCTTGGATTGAGAGACCAGGAGCCTATCGATTTTAGTTAAGATAGGGTTGCTAGCATGGTTAGACCATGTGAAAGAGTCCCCTGTAAAAGGGATATCAAGGAGAGGGATACTGTCAATAAAATTCGAAAAAGCTCAAATAGTGGTTGTGAGACGACCATCGACTGACTTCTCGTGTGGCCAACGGACCGTATTGCAGTCACCTCCAATGACCCAAGGAAGATCAGAGGAAGGAGTGACAGACGACAATTCAGTCCAAAGATCAAGACGTCTACTAGGACAATTAGGTTCATAGACAAAGGAAGATTGGAAGAGAAAATTGTCAGAAACTCTACTAAAGCAGAGAGTCACTGAGAATTCCATGATCTATGAGAATCAGATAATGGAGGAGTCCTAGATGATCCAGATACTCCCAGAAGCTCCAAGGGCTTCTTTAGCTACCCAGCTACAAGGTCTCCTACCCTAGGTATCCCTGACTGGGGAAGATTGGGACCAAGGAGTTTTGTTTCAAACAACGGCAAAAGAATAGGGTTATGAGATTGGACAAGAGAGGGGACAACATTGCGCTTGGTATGGCTACCAAGGCCTCTGATATTCCAACAGAGGAATTTCATTTGGGGGAGCTTAGGGGGTGAGTGGATTTTTGAAAGGATCTCCCCTTCTTAGGGCTAGAAAGAAGCAAAGAGGAAAGAAGCGTTGGCTTGGGCGAACGATTGGGGGACTTGTAGGAGACCTCGGAGACAAGATTTTTTAACTCTCTAGACCCTTTGCTGGAGTTGGGGAAGGGGTTACTTGAGGCGCTCTAGCCGCTACTTTAAGATGGGTAGTGAGGATCGAAGTGTCACCTTTAAACGCCAAGCGGAAGCATCAATGAGATTCGCCATATGAGGAGCTCCATTACCTATTCTCACGATTTCCAGAGAGTTCAAGGAGATGGAGGAGCAAACGTCCGAATTAAACTCTTCCTCTGGGGGAGGTGAAAGTTCAAGAGGGGGTGAGAAAAATTCCAGGGCCACCATTTGAATATGTGGGGGAGATAGAGGCTGGAAATCCAGTGGTGGGTCCTAGGAAGGATGAGGAGGTTGGGGCGTAAAAAAGTATTGAAGGGGAGGGATGCAAGTAGGGAGTCTTCCAGTAGAGGATTGGGTGGCATTAATGGCCAATTGCAACTCAAGAGGAATGGGAACCAACTCATCCAGGTCCCAGTAGAGTAACCCAGTGCCTGGGAGATTAGGGAGAAGGACAATTGGGGATAAGATGGGGAGGGAGTTCAGAGGAGCTTGCTGAGGGGAAGAGATGTAAGATGAAGGTAAAGTTATAGGAGGGGCTTTTGAGAAGACAAAAAGGGGAGGGGAGGAGTTAGAATTAGGGGGAGGGATTGGGAAGCCAGGGTAAGTGATGTAATGTGGGTTAAGGGGAACACGAGGTAGAAGGTTGCAAGGTGGGGGGATGGAATAGGGGGTGGGAGCAGAGGGGTGGAAGTGGGTACCAGGACCAGGAGAGAAGGTGTTCTTTGGATTATTTTTTTCTTTCTTTGCTTTACTTGCTTGTGGTTGTTTTATTTTTCTCGCACCGTGCCAAAAATTAACCTGATGGGTTTTAGATCTTCTGTGCACAATAGGGATAAGGGGTTCCCTTGGTCTAGCCCATTTTTTCCCTTAAAATAGCCAAAAGGGGTGCAGGATAATGGAGTTTGGGTGCTGTGCAACATCTTTTGATCCAATTAACGAATTTATCTTCAAACCCATTTCTTTGAAGTTCATTTTTTTTATATCTTCCATTTGTCCTATTAATTCACCAGTGGAGGTAAAAGGTAAAATGTGATACGTATGATTATGATGTAAATATTTGATTTGATAAGCCCTTCATTGTTTGTAGCAAGGTGGTGAAACAACTTTTTGTATATGATTTGAGTTCAATGTCTAGATGGATGAAAGCAATGTTCTGTAATGACGATAAAAGAAACTAAATTGTTACAAAACAAAAACATACGAGGAACAGAAACAAGGGAATTGGCAAATGGCTATGAATCTGAGGTAAATGTTATTAGTAAGCGAGGCATTTGTTTGCTCAAATTTTTACTTCTCTTTTATATGTAGTTATTATCCACTTTGTATTTTCATTGTCTCAGTTTCCTACTTGGGTTACTAGTGTTTGATACATAGAACCTGTGATTTTAAATGAACTACTTGCTGAAATCTCTGTCTCTCTCTCTCTC